TAATTTATTGATTGATTTTGTTAGGTAAAAGTTTTAATTATATTTAAATTTATAAATTTAATTAATTTCAAGGTGTAATAAATATGGTTGAATCTGGATGAGAGAAAAAGAAAAAGAGGCAAACATAGTTGATGACTTAATGGATTAGCTATATTAAGCATTGAGCATAATGTGTTAGAAAAACTTGATTATGAAGCTATAGTTGATGAGTTTGCTTCACAAAGTTCAGTAAGGAATGTACTTAAGTAAATTTTTATTTGGTTATTTCGAAAACGTGATTTGATTATGTTTAATTTAATGAATTCAAGTATTTTCTTTATTATAAAGTTTTTTAAATATTATTATTTTACATGTTAATTTAGATGGAATCGAGTTTTATACCTTTATTTAAAAATAGGCCTATTTTTATTTATTCACCCATAGGCCTTCAAATATACACGGCCGCCCCTGCATATGTGACACTTATTTTGGGATATATATAACTTTTATTTTGGGATAACTCAAAAATCAAAGTATAACAGATAAAATAATACAATTACTAATAAAGTAATTGAAAAAATAAAAGTTTTGATCGAGATTTGAATACAATAAAGTGAAACGTTGTAGAATGCATATTCTCCAAGAATGAAAATATTACACATATTTTGGAATAATTCAAAAAGAAAAGTAAGATAAGTAAACTATGACAATGTAGTCACTCCTCGTAGCTTATCTATTTGAGTTTAATTGTTACACAATCATTTGAAGTGACTCACTTTCACCTCTTTTTGTTACTTCTCTTCATTTCAATAATTATCTTTTTGGCCAAAACTGACTCGTTTGAATTCTCATAATACTAAAGGGAATGGTAATTTGATCAAAAACATTTTCATCTTTCGTTGATGGTGATCTATTCTTTATCTCTAAATTATCTACTAGATATGAATGTCCACCAACTATTTTGAAAAATCTCGAAGCCAATTTTCATTCATTTAATTTCTTAAGCAGATGTTGGATGTTCATTGCAATTGAATAAAGTATCGATTATGTATAATTTATTCTCAACAGTAGTTCTTTGTTTTGAATATATTTTGTTCATGTTAATTCCATCACGAAATGGGTGTATGGATATATAAATTCATAGATCAAGAACAATGATAATAGTAACACCTGAATTCGACGTGAAAATTCGAAATGGTGAAAATCACGAGACATTTCAGACTAAATCCAAGTCTACTCTCTATTTATTAACATTCATCACCATATTTATATTATACAAGCACAAAGTTTTGGAAGCCATTAATTGAGCTTTAGAATATTCTAAGTTGGGGAAGAAGAAGCGATAAGAGGGGAACGGGGATAAGAGGGGTTCCCTTAATATGGAGATAAAGCTCCTATATATAGGAAAAGGGAGAGGGGTACAATTATATCCTAATGGCAGGAATGGGCCTAATTTGAGCTACAAATCTACAATTGAGTGGGTGTATTGGGCCCCGGTAAAGGCTAATAGGTCGGCATATAATATCCCAACACATATCCCTCAATTTCTTGAGCAGTGAATGTGTGAATCTGCTCAAGAAATTATACTCTTGCTCATGTTCTTCTCCTATCTTTCTTGAATTTGTGTCTCTGTGTTGCTCTGTTTTGTCGCTGGATGTCCGCCCCTCTAAATAGAACAAGTCGGTGTGAGGGTCCTCCTCCTAACTAGAGCAGGCGAGGGAAGCTCTCTTTCACCCATTATCCCTCTTGGTTGTATGAGACAAGGGAGAAGAGTTCCAATTTGAATCGTAATAACAAAATTTTAAGGAACCCCATATGACTCCTTTATAAAGTCATATGAGGTATTGTAACACCACCATCACCATCCATTTATTTAGTAGAGGACCCTACTAAATGTTGGAAAAATGTGTTCAAACTTGCATTAAATGGTCAATTTGAGGGAATATTTTGTGTGGGGTCCACTTTTGATTTGGGTCGGGTCAAAGTGGTTTCGGATTGTCCTTGCTAAGGGCTATAATTCGATATATGGTACACTCAAAACGGATAACGGGTGAATGAGAAATTGATTCTTGAAGTTCACTCGTTGAAATGGAAGAACTGGGAAAATGATGTGGTTTTAGTGGGATTTATCCCACACCGGAAAATCCAAAGGGATTTTCACCCCCTTATAAAGGGAACCCCATTTGAAAGAGTTAAGATTCTTAGGTGGAAAGGCTCTCTTCGTGCCGGGGGGATCAAATCCCGAAAACGGAGAAGAAAATCTGCGACTTGCGTGCGCGGGTTTCTGTTGGCTTCGGAACCAGAAGACCATGAGGTCTTCTGGTGGCTTCAGACCAGAACACCTCGTAGGGTGTTCTGGTGGGGGTATTCTGGTCGTGCGGCTGAACGGTTCTGAACTGTTACATCAATGAATGCCCAATGTTCATATGCCTTTATACAACGTTAAATGGACAGTTCATGAACGATTCAATTCCCAACAGACTGGTCCTTGATGTCCAACATTTAGGCCCTTAAACTCTCACATTAACACACAACAAATCCTCTTGTAAATAGCCGGCATGTGCTTTGCAACAACACATGCAATCATACACAATCTGCACATTTTCCTTCGGCTAAAAACACCTCCAGCTCCCCGAAAATTTCCTAAGTGTTCTGTCTTGTTCCCGTTCGCCGGAACTTTCATTTGTGTGCTCAAACGATCGTTCATTAGCCACCGTATCCTGGGAAACAGTTGTTGCAATGCTCCTAGCACTGTGGGAGGCGACGAATACATTTTAAGGACATCGTGCATTGCACGAGCTCTGACTAATTTCTGTTCCATCCACTTTCGGTTTTTCTTTGGCTATTTTATTTATTAATTAATTTTATTTAATTAATATTTCTTCGTTTTTCCGAGACACACCCAACACTAAATACATAGATGACGATGGTGGTGCCACAATACCTCATATATGAAATTCCATACATCTACTCATCACAATAGACCCCTATATAGATTATCTTTGCCTTGCAAGGGACTTTTAGAGATTACATGTATGTGATGATGTATGAATGAAATGGATGTATGAGTGCAATGTATGATATATGATGTTGGGTAGGGAAGTGTAGCCTCTTGTAATCATATATCATCCATCGCACACTCTATTTAGCGCAAAGGCCCTAGTTGTTCATGACATTCTTCCTTTGTCACTTTATATACTTCTTCAGACATGCATCTCGCTCAGGTCACCGTCTAACCCAGGGATGCAATGCCTCTAGGTGTTGAGTTCGACCAGAGCCCCTGGGCAATTAACTTAGCTCTAGACACTTGGCCCCAAGATGTAGGGTATGGCCTAAGATGTCGCTTGGCCTTTGGATGCGAGGCCCGGCCAAGGATGCTTGACCTCTAGGTGTTGGGCTTGTGTTGGGAAACTCAGCTTGTGAACATTTGACTTCTTGTCGTTTGACTTCTAGCTAGACGTTGACTGCTAGTCGTTCGACCTCTGGCTGTTTGAGTGCTAGACGTTTGATCTAAGGATGTTTGATGGTTAGTCAATCGAACTAAATTGAAATGCGTGCTTGTGTATGTCCAAAAGAGACGAGTAAGAAACTTAAGTTGGTAAAGAGGGAATAATAAAAACCGATAAAAGATAAGGTTCAATGTTTGGAAAGATTTGGTAAAGGATTTAGGTGAAATCGAGATTTTTTATTTTACTCCCTCAGTCCTATAAAATTTGGCCAGTGTTGACTTGCACGTAGATTAATAAAGTAAAAATCGTGTGATAGATATTTGTACAGAGGAGAGAGAAATAACTTTAGCCACTTATTATTATTATTATTATTATTATTATTATTATTATTATTATTATTATTATTATTATAAGTAGTATTAGTATTATTAGTATTATTATTATTATTATTATTATTATTGTTATTATTACTACTACTACTGCTACTGCTACTGTTATTACTATTACTATTACTATTACTATTACTATTACTATTACTATTACTATTACTATTACTATTACTATTACTATTACTATTACTATTACTATTACTATTACTATTACTATTACTATTACTATTACTATTACTATTACTATTACTATTACTATTACTATTGTTGTTGTTGTTGTTATTGTTATTGTTATTGATATTGTTATTATTATTGTTATTATTATTGTTATTCTTATTATTATTGTTGTTATTGTTATTACTATTGTTATTATTGTTGTTATTGTTGTTGTTATTGTTGTTGTTATTGTCATTGTTATTGTTATTGTTATTGATATTGATATTGTTATTATTGTTATTATTATTGTTGTTGTTATTATTATTGTTATTATTATCGTTGCATGTGGTTATCGTTGTTGTTGTTGTTATTATTATTATTATTATTATTACTAATACTATTACTATTACCATTACTATTACTATTACTATTAGTATTATTATTACTATTATTATTATGATTATGTATAAGGAGAGATTATGGAAGAGATAATTTAGTAAAATTATAGCAACCTTGCCTTAAGTATTGAGTTATTGACCCCTTGAGGCTGACCCCAATTGGGCCGAAGGTCCATCCGTGTTCACTCACACCCTCGGCTAGAGCCCCTTCATGTGATTTCCTTAAGCTCTAAAGCTGAGCAGGTACCATGGTTGGCCTAGTTCACTTGCATGATGACAGGGGTTCACCCCATGTAGAGGATCAATATTCGAGCTTAGGTTAGGTCTATACCCTTCAGTAATACTGGACAAATATTATTATACACACATAATAATAATTCCCTGACACACACAATATATAAATATGCAGATATATATACACACACACTATATAAATATGTAGACACACACATCATATACATTAGAATAACCTATATGTGTGTGTGCATGAGCGTCTTTCTTAATCCAAATATTCTATTGTGCAAAACATACATCACAAATACACATATATTCAATATTGGCATAGTAAATCATACCAGTGTAAAAAATTGCATATTGCATACATCATACAACATACATCTTATAAATTAATCACATGTGATCATTTCCCCCGGAATTGTTGCCTTTGATTTAGGCCTCTATTAATGAGTAGTATCTACACCTAACCGACAATTGTAGCTATAAAATACCTTGCATTCCTTTTTATCTAAAATGTCTAAGGAATAAAAAGTATACGAGTATTAAAAAGGCACCAAAAGTATGAAATTAGTTCACATCTACCATCTATATCACTTTTCAATTTCACGACATGCATCTAAGCGATTGTTTTGCTCACTTGCCACTTGGTGATCTTCTTTTTGCATTTGTATTTGGGGTTTGTATTCTAGTTTTATATGTGGATGAATGCAACAACATCCCAGTAGAGAGTCTTCTCGATGGTGGTGGTATTGATCTCCTAGTGATAATGAAGGTTGAGAAGATAGGTGTCAGAAAACATCATTTTCTAATGAACTAATGTAATCATAAATGTGTTTGTGCATGAGTCTGAACAACAATATCATACATGACATTTACAAACTGTTTACAAAATACAACCCGACCATTCTAAGTTCACATGTGTACATATATGAATAAACTGTAAGAGAAAAAATAAGGGGGAAATACGGAAAAGGTACTCGCGGTTGGAAGCGTTTTCAGATAGGAGTATGCGTTTCGTTTTTTCCCCAAAGCCTCCCTCGTATTTTAGGTCTGTTACCACTCGTGGGGTCTGAAACTAAGCTTCGTTAGAACCAGGTGAGGTGGCAATAGGTTCACATGAGGAAGATAATGAACAATAACTCAGATTTTCAAAAGTGCCTAAAAAATAAAAATAAAAATATGGTAGGCGCGCCTGATCAAGACGACATCCAACCCTTGTTTTCTTTCCAGACACCTATATGTTGTGGGGAAGTCCACCGAAAAGCTCTTAGATACGTATAAAATGAAAAACATCCCAACCAAGGGTTAGTTTCAAAAGTGGATCAAATGGTGTTTTCAGCAACTCAAAATGGATATGTTGGTTCTTTTCAATATGGTGAGGCCCAGTCCATATGTACTTTGCAGATACAACTGTTGGATTTTTGAGTTAGGGGTCCAATCCATTCTATTGATGATTAGTGATTTCTACAAATTTTGTTTTTCCAAAAAGAGCTGCAGAAATCCAAATATTGCAAATCCAACCGTGGATATGGCAAGCATGAAGAAATCCGCCGTAGAATCAAAAAGGAAAAGTAATTTGATCATGTGGAATGTTTGTGAAGAGGTCAATGTACATCGTCTTCTTCATCGAAGTTCACTTCCAGGAGAGATCACCGTTGTTCTATGCCACACAATATTGAAGGAGCTGAATTGGATGTCATCGTGAGTTTTTTTAGTCAAGTAATGGGCCATTGTTTTTTAAAAATTGTCACCTCAGCGGCTTCTAATGGAGTTTGCCTTCGGACCCCACATATGATAACATACTTGAAACACTAGAACTAGTTTGGAAAGAAATGAAACACAGGGCCCTGTCTGAAAATGCTCCCAAGTCCCAACCACAAATGTCTTTTATGTACTTTTCCCAAAAAATTATATGAAAAAATATTGGACCATATCATGATTTGTTCCATGAAATAGACTCATGTTTTCAAAACAAGAGAACTTGCCAAAATATATCCAAAATGCTCAAAAGAAAAACATGTGAATTTTCATATATATAGATAAAATATAACACATTTATACAAATATGATCATTATTTGTTCAAAAAAATGACTCATTCAATCCAAGAGAAAATTTCCAATTACTTTTATTATTTCCCTACGCCCCAAGAGAAATGTTATATGATAAATAAAATGGTAAAGTCGAAATTGAGATATTGTTCATATTCATTGGAAAGATGCAAAAAGAAAAGTATATCTAACAAAATAGGAAAAATAGATAATAAAACAAGGATGGTCCTAATTGGGCAAGTGTTTTACTCATATCTTAAAGGGGGGAAATTGAAAACTGTTAAAAAATTTCCAATCCTAGAGAATGCCATGAAATGAAAAAATAATGAATGAAAACGATAATCCAAGTATGTTACCTAGTTTCTGGACTCTTTATTCTCTTTGGACTAGGCCTTCTCAATTTGGATTCCATCCCATTTTTAGTACCACCAGAGACATTTGAAGTACTCATTTGGAAAACAAAGTCATGTTCCGAAGAACAATCACTAGTGTTAGCATCAAAGTCAGGATCATCCACTGCAACAAAGTTTTGTTGCTCGGGGTGTGACTTCACACAATCATCAGGTGAAAATTTCTCAAATAAGATCTCAGTTGAGTGTTGCTTATCACATTCATCCAACCTTCCTAGTGAATAACCCATATTGATACTATTTCTTTTATTAACGATAACCTTGTCAACCCATTCACCACTCGCTGCATCTTTCTCATATTCATTTGATCCAGAGCTTGCATTAGGTTGCCAAGGAGGTGAGTTCATATGAAGGTCATCAAGATCTAAGCTTTGCCTTCCTCCAGAACATTTCCTCACCTACAAATAGAAATTCGTAATCCTCTTCTGTAATTGTAATTTCACATTACCGATAAACAAAGTTAGTTTTATTTGGCTAAAGAGAACATAAATGTGTTTAAGAAGTCAAAAACATGTAGACACACAATAAAGAGGCATGAGAACTTAAGATGCATGCATGACAATAAATTAGGTAGGGGGAATGAATGATAAGTCAGATGAAGAACAACAAGGAAACAAAATTTACCTTCCTGGAGAGGTTTTGGCCTGGGTCCCCTCTCTTTTTGTTAACTCTTTATTTTTAATAGAACTCGGCAAATGTTCTCCGACGTTTGCCCACCGATGGGTAGTTTGCCTACCGAGTAAATAAAAAAAAGACACAAAATTTACCTCTCTGTTGTCATCAACATCCTCCATAAGCTGCTCTTGATTAGAGATTTGCATGTCTCTAAAACTTTGCAAACTATAGTTTGAAGGTGATGATCCAGAAGACGTCATTTTCCTTTCTGGGCTACTTGACCTAGAGCTTATCACGTCCTTCTTTGCCAAAGCTGCCTTCAAATTTGCAATCTATGCAAAAACAAGTAAATAGTGTGTCTTTATTTCAAAGAAAAAGAGCTTATGTGTTTATACTTATGCTCGAGTCATAAATTCATTTGTTTATTGTTCTCTCTCCTTTTCACTCTAAAGAAATAAATGAGAAATTAAAGATAATTCTTATAAAAGTTAAAAGAAACGACTCATAAAAATGTAATATTTAGATATATAGAATTCGGGGGTGGGGGTCTAGCACGACATGATAGTAAGGATATGGTGTGTAATTTAAGACCTTAGAAATTAAATATGACGATGACACATTATTATAACAGTTAAATTAGCTTAGTACTTGTTCTTTGAGTTCTTTTACATCGGGAGAATCTTTGTTTGCACGTGGTGCACCAAGCTCAACAGCAGAAACACGTTCAGCAAATTTAAGAGTACTAAGTGTCTCTCCAATAGCATCTACCTCAGGACTAATGTGAACAAACATTAATGTCTTGGCTTGCCCTCCTGATAATAATACAAAGTCCAAGTCTCAAACATAAAAAGTGCTTAAAATGGAAATGAAAACTTAAATGTTTCATTAAGCGTAAGTTCAAACCTTAGAAAGCACCAAGGAAAGGAAAGAATGTACTAGGGAAAGTTATTCTCTTAAGTTTAGATTAACTTTGAAAATACTATGAAAAACAGAATATTTTGATGTTTTAAACCTGTTTATATATGTGCTTAGTTTTCATAGTATTTATATGGCACAAAATGACCAACTAATTGGATATGAACAAATAGTAAAAATAAAATCATTGAGTCTGAACAATATGTTTTCCTCAACGATTTCTCCTTCATAGTTTATCCTTTATTATATTCATTTTTCTCTTTTACTCAACATTGTCCATGTACATAATGCATCCTAAATCATCAATCATGACCTAGTCATACCGAGAGAATCTTGCAGAAGCTGAGTAAGCTTGCTGTTCCTATAGGGGACATGTGAACTCTTATGCCCAAGGGCATATATGACATCTCCTAAAGCAGAAAGAGACTTGTTTATATGTTGTGCTTCCTTCAACCTTTCACCAGTTGCTTCAGTTTTATCTGCTCTTTCACTTCCTGCCAGGTCAACCATATGCAGACAACCGCGAAGTATTGTTCCAGATGTTAGTCCTCTCCCCTGAACATGAACTGTGAGGCAACTGAAAATGTAACCACCCCAGATGAATTGAGTAATTGCTTATTGAGTATTCAAGAATAACTATATCAATAGTGAACCCATCAAACCTTGTAAATGATGGAAAAGAACAAAATATAATTACCTGTGGGAACGACTACTACGAGTGTTCATGGCAGTTGCACCGACTGCACGGTTCTTCTGCCCTAGATTCATCAACTTGAGGACCTCTGATGTCGATGATACAGATACAATATTTGCATCAGGTACATTTAAACCCTTCTGTGAGTTGTTACGAATTTCTAATGTATTTACAAGTGAAGAAAAACTGTAAGGGCTTGACAAGGATAATGAATATGATAAGGTAAAGACTTTGCAAAGTCATAGAGAGGATATTTTTTTATGATGCCATCAGTTGCAAGGAGATCTCTAACTTGTTCATTGTAAATTTCGATCATCTGAACAGAGACTTCATAAGCTATTGTGTTTTTCCTTTGCTCTGAGATAAGAAACAGATCATCTAATGCCCTATAATTTACACCTTGAGTTTCCTTTGTGACCTCATCTGGTCCAGACTATCAAGATGAAGAATAACTATTATTTTTTGCACATTGTCATAAAACAACACACATGTCATGCGTAAGATATCTTACCATAGTGTATGTCTTTCCTGATCCAGTTTGACCATAAGCAAATATACAAACATTGTATCCATCAAGGACGGATCGAATGAGAGGTTGTGTGTCTGTAAATACTTGTTCTACATATTTCAAAGAAACGGAAACAAATTATTTCAATGATAAATTATGTTGAGTAATTTTGAGTAGGAAGAAATGTGACTAAGGACCTTAACAACCTTGGGTTGCAGATGGACCAAAACAACGGTTGAAAGTGAATGTTTTCTTTCCCTCCTTTCCATATTTTGAGGGAGTTATTATTGTAATGCTTCTCTCTTCCACATGATCTAAAGTGCTAAAGCGATTGTGTTGCCCAGGCAAGAATGGTCGCACTCGACAATACACCCTTATACTTCCTATTCAATTTAAATGTTGTAAATATTCCACATCATTAGAAATTTCCATAACACAATGTTTCATATTAAAGTTAAACTTATTTCCTAAAAGCCACTACCTTTAAGATCTTGCACTTGATTGTACAACTTGCGGTTTTCCTCCAAAACTTTCTGGTATCCAGAAGCTGCATGAGCTAGGCCTTGCAAATGTTTACCTAATAGGGAACATAAGAAAGGAATATGATTTCCATTGGTTACATCATAAACAGAGTGTTTCTTTGTTTATTATTTACCTAGATTATTTACTTCATCATTATATTTGACTTGTATGCACTGTAACTCTTTTTTTGTATCATAAAGGGTACACTTGAGGTCCTGCACATTGGACAATTTAGAGATCAGTATATACATGTACACAAGTATGTATATAAATGAACATTGATGGTGTATGTAATCTGTATACACATGCACATGTACTCAAACACGCACACCAACACCCACGCACATAAACATACATGAGCATATATTAATATCATTATGCATTTATGTATGTGTGTTTGTGTTTGTATGTATGTGTCTTTGTATATATACTTTGAAGATTACTTTTATGAATACTAAATACGACTTCTTGAGTTACACACATCTTTAAAAAATGCTACAACACTATGCAGATAAACATATATGTGTGTGTGCACATATACAAACATGTGTGTGTTGGGGGAGTAATAGATCTTCACATGGGAAGAGTGCACAATATGCTCGTGCACTTGCACATATGGAAAGTAATAAGTGCACTTTCATGAATGTTGCAGTTTGGTTTCACATATTCAATGCAAACATGCTCATTTTCATCGACATCAACATCCTCATTTGATCATGTGTGTGTGTATTTCATAGTAAAATAACCTACCTGTATATTTTGTTGTTGTTTGATTAACATGTGTTGCTTCTCATCACACCTTCTTGGTGTGATTTTATTTACTCCTGTATGGTGAAACTGTTCTTCACCAAAAGGTGCTGGATTTGTTTTATCTTCATCCTAAAAAAAGCAAAAAACATGTTTTGAAAGGTTAAACACCATAATATGATGATGATGATGATAAGATACGAAAACACTTTCTTAAAGAATCAGTATAGAAATGGTTTACCATTATAATATTGGAAGGAAACTCATGATTATTGCATGGTGGAGTTAATGTATATTGCGAAAATGAAATTGACATATCTTGAGACATTGAAAAAAGGTATTTTTGGGGAATACGCTTCCATCTATTACTGTGTGAAATTTTAAAGCTAAATAGTTTGAAGATCTTTATCCCTTCATAATATGGTAAGTTGCAAGAGAGGCTAACAATCTTCATCTTCTATGTAGTTGTAAGAACTCCATTGCTTTAAGAGTTCTTTTATATATTATTGAATTGGAGTATTGGTCACATGTTTTATATGTTAGATATGTGATACATGTCAGAAATAACTTTAGAATGTTTAAGGTCTTCAATGGCAAAAAAGAAAGAAGAATTCAAATTATTTAAAAATGAAAAACACTACCGTAGATGAAAAAATGATCTATACCTTTGAATCTATATATGAACATTCAACCGAAGAAGAAGACGTCAGAGAAATATCTTGAGTAGCAGTTTCCACCTGCCATATCTCGAAATGTTTAAAGACAATATGTTATAAGAACTTTAACTTTTCATTAGACCCGCTACTGATACTCAATATTATATTACCTAATCGCATTGAATGCATATGCACCTCCAAAAATAAAGGAATAAAAAACAAGGAAGCTTAATAGGACTAACTCGAGAAATGCTCATTAAACTCTACCTCTTCATTATGGCTTAATAAACAATGCTCAAATTCTTCCATTATTTTACCTAACAAGTTCCCCACAATCTGTTCAAAAGTAAAGTACATGTCTCACAAAACATATACATTATCATTTCCATTGATTAAGGGATGGTCAATCCCGTAGTATGATAGTGAAAGAACCAGTCTATGATCCTCAATGTTGTCAATTCTCACATCCCCATATGAGAATAATTAATAACAAGTTTAAAGAATGCATACAAATGGTATATCTTCTGGTTTCTTATCAGCTAGAACTTTGTTGACCAGTATTTGCAAGGACTCCAATTGCTCCTGCATGTTCCACATTGGATGGATTTGTATATAAACTTATGATGTATGGAAGAAAATTTAAACAAAAATAATAAGATGAGCTAACCGTCTCAGGATGGTCGCACTCAAGGTTAACATTGTTGAGAGCCTTTTCAATGACGAATGAGGTATGTGAAATTGTGTTCATGAAGGGTTGAGAGTTCTTTAGAAGAAATTTCTTTCCGCGTGATGCAGGTTTCACATTCCCACTTAGTTTCCAAGAACCAACGCCACATTGTTTCCACTCCCAATATGATTTCAGTGCTAGTACGCAATTGACAACTCTATATGGCTTCCCGCCCTAATTCAAGTGGAACATAACTATTACATATTAAGAACCATGGTGCATCATATTATTTGAAACGATAATGGATAATAAATATAATATAAGAACAAGTTATATCCCGCATTAGAATGCCTCAATACCTAGACTAACACAGTTCCCGATTGTATCCGGATCTAATTAATTTTATTCGTATTACATTGTTGGCTTATTAAATCATGAGTGGGGTTTTGGCATGACAAAGACACCTGCAACAACTTACCTGCGCGAGATCGGAAGCTTGAAATGTTGGAAGCCCCATTTCTTCCATAGCCACAAGGAAGTTTCTTACATTTTCGAAGTATTGGTATGCAGAAAGGGCTGCCCCATCAGAGTTGCTGGCAGAATCTAGCGGTGCTTCAATGACCTAAAGGATAAACATTATGTTCAAATACATATTGATATAAGATAAAAATGTATATAAAGAATAAGAAAACATTACTTTCTGCACAGAGCCAGGTTGTACTTTATTAAGAGCATTGCAAAGTATAATGCCGCTTCGCAACCCATTTCTGAACTCTTCTTCTGAAGGTTCAGCCGGTAAATCTTTACTAGCAACCACTCCTACAATCTTTCTTAACCACCTACCAGCTTCATTTCTTCTCAATGCTGCACCACATCATTCAATTCATACATCTTATTCATCCAAGTAAACATTTCAACCATTGAGATTTCTAATGATTCAATAAAAATTTGACATCACCACAAGTACATTAGTGAATATATTGTGTGATTCCACATATCATATTAAGATTTAGGGTTAGTTTCACAAACCCGATACTAGGAATTACTGATCTTATATCTAAGTTTAATACTGTAGTTAATAGTGTTTCATAAGTTCCATTTGTGTTGATTCATCATTATGATCATCATTGTTCCTATATTTTTTCGCATGAAGCTCACAATACGACAATGAATCAAGTTAGTTTTCAAATTGACATTGAGGTTACATCTTGAAAGGTTCTGGAGCGAGTACCTTATGATCTTCAGATCTTGTTTATTAGGTTAACAATTATACATTAACGGTGTAATACAATATCTTCATCACACAAACAATAATCCTTTCAACAATATATAACACTTCAATAATAATTATGATATGGCGGTGAAGGGTATTTATGTTCTTAACCTACAAGTTGAAGAATTTAGCATGCATGATTTATCATATTCCGAGATGCTAAGCCATTATTGCAGTCATAAATACAAATGAAAATTAAAATATGGACGAGTATGAACAATCTTAGGAAAAGTAAACTCCATCGAAAGAATGATCATACAAGCTTCTTCAGCTTTTCTGGCAGCATACAAATCAACATTGCTCAAATTTTCCCCGTACTGTTCAATCACCTCTTCAACCATGGACGCCGCCAATAACGGATTGTCCTCCGACGACATTGCATGAGAAATGTTCAAGACCTTCCAAGAAAGTTAAAACGCAACAACTTCTTCGTCAACGCCAAATTCTAAACTTATAACAACACAAAATCATGCATGGCAAAACACAAAGTGTTTGTATATATCTATATATCCATAATAATCTATATACGGAAGCATATGTAGGGGAACAATATGGTTTCTAAGCAGGAATGGATGAGGAGGGTGAAGTATTAACGGAGGAAATTATAGGAGGAAGATGACATTAACAATTTGGTTTTCTAGTAATTATCTTAGCTAGCAATGTTTTTTCTTTATTCAGGCTCTCTTGATCGCTTCCACCATGGAGTCCATGCTCTACTTTTGCTTCTTTTCTTGCCAAAGATTTTTCCTAGCCGAACGGATCGGGCATCTATTCATTTTTCATTTTGTTTTGGTTTTTCTTTCTCAAAACATAGAGAGAAATAATAAATGAATAATTTACATTTTTACATACACAAAAATACATACTTCATTCTTCTTTTTTAATGGCAACATTTTCATTTTCACGCTTGCTCTCACACAACTTTGACTATCATTATATTTACTTCTGTAATACGAAGTAGTAAAAACATTAAAAATAGATTCCGAAAATTTATAATGAAATGAATTCAATAATATTTAAAAATAATAATTCTCATACATTAATAAATAAAATGTAGTCAAAGTAAAACACGTGAATAGTGTAAAATTATCAATGTTGCAACTTAAAAGAAGCAAAGGATAGTACTACACTACGACCTCCGTCTAGAAAAGGTTTGCGATATTGACATGTCTTGGTCAATGTTGGTTAACATTGGACAATGATTTTTGTTATTATATTTGTGTACAATTTATATATTTTATATTTTTATGAAAATATTTTGAATAAGAAACATTTTGATACAATTTTCATATTCAAAATAATTTCATATTAAAATATATCGTTGGTCAAAATTGATTGTTATTGATCAAGAAAAGTCAATTTGATACATCTTTTTGGAACGGAGGGAGTACATTATTATTAGCAACAAAATACATGGAGAAGTACCTGGAGAACTACGGTACAAGTATATATTTTTATAACAAAATTACTAAACAATAAAGTATAGTATCCTAACTGGTCACGCAGTTTATATCCTGGGATCGGCGCACCATGAGGATGGTGCGCCTGATCCCAAAACGACGCATGCATTCATTTTTTTTTGTTTTATTGTTAAAAATTGTAATAACTTTTTTATTTGATATCCGATTTTTATAAATTTTATATCAATTTTTTTTTATTTTTCATGATCAATCAAATGAGACCAATATTGCTTATGTAATTTTAACAAATTATTTTGAGGTTACATTTGATAATATATCATGAAGTTACATCTTCTTCTGCGTGAGTTACATCTTATTGTACGCGAGTTACATCTTAATATACACGAGTTACATCTTAATGTATGTGAGTTACACCATGAAATAAACCCCTGCTACATCTTTCATTTTTATCATTTAAAAAATAGTGTATGAATATGAAATACAATATACTTATTTTATGTGGATTAATAAAATTTTGTATTAAATTGGCAAAGAAAAAAATTAATTCAGTTATAATTGAATTAGTTCAAGATAAAGATAAGTAAAAAATCACAAATAATTAGATATAACTCACCCATAATTACATGTAACTCGCGCATAAATGTATGTAACTCGTGTATAACAAGATGTAACTCACATATAATTACATGTAACTCTCGCATAAAAGTATGTAACTCGTGTATAGCAAGATGTAACTCACACATAAGAAGATGTAACTCACACATAATAACTTGTAACCGGAGTATAAGATGATGTAACTTCGTATATTATCAAATGTAATTAATGTTCTAGTCAAACACATAGAATATACTCTTTTATTTATCCTAGTATAATGATAGTGTCTGGTTTAGATCAATGATCAAAATATTTCTTGCATTTATTGGTCAAATATATAATTATATAATATACTTTCTATCAATTTAAATAAGAAAAATCAGTGCTTATACCGTGGTACCGGTGAATGGTGAGCACCATGCACCCTTTGTTATTTTTTATTTCTCGTTTTCTTAAAATTGTTAATAATTTTTTTATTTTTGATCCGATTTTTATAAAATTTATACCAAAATTTTTTATTTTTCATGATCTTTCAAATGAGACCAATATTGCCTATGTAATTTTAATTTTTTACATTCATACTTTTTTTTGTAATATATTTTTATATGCATACATACACTTTTTCTATAATATATTTTTTTATCACTTTTATATGTTTTAGAGGTTTTTAAGATATTGAGTTTGTTTATTTTGCTTCTAGCTTGGAGTTACATTTGATAATATACGAAGTTACATCATCTTATACTCCGGTTACAAGTTATTATGTGTGAGTTACATCTTGTTATGTGTGAGTTACATCTTGTTATACATGAGTTACATACTTTTATGCGAGAGTTACATGTAATTATGTGTGAGTTACATCTTGTTATGTGTGAGTTACATCTTGTTATACACGAGTTACATACTTTTATGCGCGAGTTACGTGTAATTATGTGTGAGTTATATCTAATTATTTGTGATTTTTTACTTATCTTTATCTTGAATTAATTCAATTATAACTGAATTAATTTTTTTCTTTGCCAATTTAATACAAAATTTTATTAATCCACCTAAAATAAGTATATTGTATTTCATATTCATACACTATTTTTCAAATGATAAAAATGAAAGATGTAGCAGGGGTTTATTTAATGGTGTAACTCACATACATTAAGATGTAACTCGTGTATATTAAGATGTAACTCGCGTACAATAAGATGTAACTCGCGCAGAAGAAGATGTAACTTCATGATATATTATCAAATGTAACTTCAAAATAATTTATTAAAATTACATAAACAATATTGGTCTCATTTGATAGATCATGAAAAATAAAAAATTTTGATATAAAATTTATAACGGATATCAAATAAAAAAGTTATTACAATTTTTAAAAATAAAAGAAAAAAAAATAGTGAATGATGCGTCGTTTTGGGATCAGGCGCACCATCTCCATGATGCGCCAATCCCAGGGTATAAATTGCAAAGAAAAATAGCTACAATATATTCAAAAGATTTTTCCATATATTTTTGTCACAAACTAGTATAGTAACGGGCATACGCACGGGAAATAACAGTCGGTGCATATATTTTTACCCATTATCTAATTAAAAATTAAAATAAAAATAACTTTAAATTTTAGGATTCTACGTTTTCGAAAAATAAAAGTACAATAACCTAATACCATAAATATAAGTTCATACAATAAATATACAATGATGAGTATATTAGGAAAATTTTATTAAACACCACTGATTAGAATTTGCTACTTATTAATTGTGATGATTAAATTAATTTCAAAATTAAGTACTGTTCTAAAAAAGTGAATACAATGAATATTAAAATTAATGAATAATAAGTATTAGTTATATAAGAACTTGCTACTCATTAGTTAAATTAGTGCTATCATATGAGAGAAAAATTATCCTACTCAATTCTTAATCGGCTTATCTAATACAAAAAGGAATTACAAATGAGAGAAAATTCTTTCACTCAATTGTTAGTTAGCCGAATTAACTTATACCTAAAGCACTACGCATGAGAGAAAAAATTCTACTGCTTAATTGTTAGCCGGCTTATTTTATACTTAAAAGATCGACATATATGAGAATTCCCCACTCAATTGTTAGCACATTTATCTTCTATAATATAATAATAATACCAAAAATTAAAGCACTACATATGACTATATGAGAGATGAAATTTCCCCGTTCAATAATTATTAGTAAGCTTATATCTTGTTATATCTAAAAACACTACATATGAGAGAGAAAATTCTCCCGTTCAATTGTTAGTCGGCTTATTATTATACCTAAAAGCACTACATATAGGCTAGAAAATTTTCCCACTCAATTGTAAGCTATATTATCTTATACGATAGTATATACTTAAAAAGAACTACATATGAGACAGAAAGTTCTCCCGCTCTATTATTAGCAAATTTATCTTTTTATACTTAAAACTCTTACATATGAGAGATAAAGTTATCCCGCACAATTGTTAGTCGGCTTACCTTATCTCTAAAATTACTACATATCAGAGAGAATAATTATTCCGCTCAATTGTTAGTTGTCTTATTTTCTTATACTTAAAATAATTATATATGAGAGAGAAAATTATTTTGTACAATTGTTAGCAAGTTTATCTTCTCATACCTAAAATTTTATACCTAAAAGCATTATATATGTGATAGAAAATTATGGCACTCAATTGTTAGATGTCTTATCTTTTATCTAAAAGCATTACATATGAGAGAGAAATTTAGTCGCTCAATTGTAAAAGAAATTATCTCGCTCTATTGTTAGTTGACTTATCTTCTACCTACATATAAAAGAAATTTTGTCCGCTCAATTGTTAGACGGCTTATTGCTTAGTCTTTCTTATATCTAAAATCTTATCTTATATCTAAAAGTATTATATGTGATAGAAATTTGTTTAGATTCTTATACCTAAAAGCAATACAAATGAAAGAGGAAATTATCTCGCTCAATTGTTGTTGTCAACTTATCTTATCTTATATCTTATATACTTAAAAGAACAACATATGAGATAGAAAGTTATCTCGCTCAATTGTTAGCAAGTTTATCTTATAATAATAATATAATATCTAAAAGCACTACATATGAGAGTGAAATCCCCCCCCCCCCCCCCCCCCCCTCCCATATGAGAGAATTATCTCGCTCTGTTGTTAGTCGACTTATCTTCTACCTAAAAACATTATACTATCGTATATGAGAGAGAAAATTATTCTACATCTTACAAAATGTGTAATGATTCACCCAATAACAATTTTATTTAATCGTCTTCCACATCTTCATCTTCTACCTAACAGCATTATATATGAGAGAGAAAATTATTCTACATCTTCCAAAATGTGTAATGATTCACCCAATAACAATTTTATTTAATCGTCTTCCACATCTTCATTACTTACTTACATAATTCCTTTTTAATTTACTTTCTACCATTAGATTGTTAGCGTTTTGAGTATTTTTTTTCCATACCGAGTATATCTTTTCGATTGCAAGAGCTTATGTTGCTACGCATGTTTATTATTATAAATAGTGTGAGCTTTAGATTTGCAAGTTTATTTTGATTTTTCTAAATTCAGTTTATTTGACTACTTATTCTAGTTGATAATTTAATACAGTGCTTCTTTCATGAT